CGTTACGTTTTCCCGTTATCGCCATTTCCTTAAGGTTACACCGGCGTGTCTTTGGAATTTCAATCTGCGTGCAAACCAAGATTCTCTGCCCTTCTTCCATTCTCGACAGAATTATTCTTTCTTTGGAAGAGGATACCGATTCCATTTGTCAAAAGTAGATTGGTACCCAGGAAAAGTACGTCCATTTTTTACGTCTTATCTGCGCGAGTTCCATGTTTCGAAAAGTTATTGCAGCCAAATAAACCAACTGCACCGATGAGAAATATTTGTAACTGCACAACTTTTCAGGTGAATTATTTGAGTAACAGTTTTCTCCCGATAAATCTTTTTTGTTTATTCCTCACGAAACAGAAGTGAGATATTAAATACATATGAGTATAAAGCATGGATGAAAGTTACGATTATTTTTGTTAAGTGTTCTATTGATTGAGATCAGTTTTTAACGTTATTTATAATATACGTAATTTTATAAAAACTAATTGAATTAAAAATGCCCAAACAATATTATTTTTCTTTCATGTCTTATTAAATATACATATTATGCTTTTATATATATATATATAATACTTTTTTACGAATTTTGTCTTATCCGTTGTGATTTAAGGAGTCTATAACTCATTCAGTTATTATTTTATTATTATTAAACACATTATGCCTTAATGAATATGTATATTAAATGTATTAAATATTTGTTCTTGTTTTAGTACATATTTACTATATTTATAAAGAAAACATCAAGATAATCTCAATTTATTAAAGAAAATGTAATATAGAAATCATTAGAGAGAGAAAAAAGAAAATTTATCATGCAGAAAATCAGATCGCGCGTAAACGACAGTAAAATAACAAACGTTTTATATAATATTCGCTTATCTCTCGTACTCGACGTTACTGGTACTGCATCGTACGATAATTATATTAATTTATATAGAATCAATATTAAACACATCCGGGAAATGTATTTTTAATGAAGTAAATACGTGGATGCATAATGTGCCGCGTGCTGAATATTACATATCGCAGGAAATAGATACTCGTAATGCAACGATACACGTGAAACCCGCAAAACTGCATTGCGACCCGCGATAATTATTCGAGATAATGAGGGAAATTCATGATTGCCAGTTTGCGAAGATCTCCGTGTTAAAAAAAAAAGGGAGAGTCATTAGTGAATACGTTCGGACGAAGTAATTATAGTTTGTTTTGGAAGAAGAATGATTTCATCCATTGTAGCTTAAAAATCAAGACAACAACACGTTGTTGAACGTGTGAGCATATATATAAAAAAGCTTTACAGATTAAAAAACCACTAAAAAAGGCTGGCAAATGCAAAGATTCAAAGACGCTTCCGTTTGAGTGAAATGCTAACGAAGCCGATAGAGAAGGAAACCTCACGTATTTTTCTCACGTAGTGATCGGAATGGAGAAATCTCGTTCTTGATCGAAGCCATTGTCGCTGACTGCGATGCGAGAATTCGCAACATCGAATGAAAAACTCAAACTGATTCGACCGTCGAGAATACATCAATATAACAGCCACAACAAAGACTGCAGCATTAAGGAATAAAATGGAAAGGACATCCACACTGTGCAAAAGAAAAGGGTGGAAAGGTGTAGATAACGACGGATGGCTCCTCCGCTGGCGGTCTTATCTTACGCCATGATGCCTCTTGCGTTTTCATTAAAAGACCGCCCGTTCCCTTGTTCTTGTTCCCGCTGCCGTCAACCCCCTCGTAAAAGGCATGCCACCCCTCGAAAAATAAAAGTCGCAACAAATGTCAGCTAAGACACTCGATTCCCTTGGCATTTTTCCGCGACTTTCTTGCCACAGACAGCGGCGCGATCGTCGCGCGAATTTCATTAAAATTTTATTACACAGCAAGACGAGAGGACGGAACGGAAACGTGACAAGCGTTATTACTACGTGCTTAACATTTATTAATTATTATCTAATCAGTAAACTAAATCAACCAACTAAAATGTAATCAAAATTATATCAATGTTTTTATTAGTATTTATAGATGTCAATCAAAATGTAAGTTTGGAATTATTTTAAATCAATCGCTTCCGTTCGCGCAACTTAATCTTATTATTCTTCTCATTTAATTTATCTTGAATCATTCCATATTAAACATTTTTAATAATTATATCATAATATTATATTAATAATTATATTACATAAATTTATACATACGTAATAAATTGTAAATTCCGACATCGTTTTTCATACAGTATCCCATTTTATTCTGGAAAGGAAAGGTTCTTACTTAAATTTAATTATAATTAGAGTATCTTAAAAAATGTAAATGATTAAAACACAAACATAAAACGTATATATCTAGAAAATACATTTATTGAGTACACACGAAAGTTCATATTTTTTTTACTCAAACATCGCGTCAGAAGAATATCGCTTGCTGTTCTAATGCTGTAGACTATCGATAGTTGTTGCCGCATGAGAGAGTGAGAAGGAGCCAACTCAAGGAACAACGAAGGGGGTAAGAGTAATCCCTATTGTTTCTCCTGTCCCATAAATCCTACTAGCGCGCTTCCTACGCCTCTCTAGAGCTCCGCTCGCGCTTTAACCATATACAGAGCCATCCGCCCTTCGCCACTTTCTACCAACTTCTCGTCTCAGCAACATGCTCCGTAAATCTCTGACCAGCTGTGCTTTACGATACGTGGTTCTCGTAAAGATACAAGAGATCTTATTCGTCATTTGACTGATGTTATTGGAATTATTTAAAAATCAATCTTATTGACGATATCCTTTGATGAGCAAATATTGTCGTTTCGAACACAGTAATATCGACTAATAACATGTATTATTTAGTATTAGTAGTTCCAAAGAAAGATGTAATCTTATTTAATTGATTAGTAAATATTGTACCTTTAAATCTTCGTTAATTCTTGCTTTTAATATTTTTTTTTTTAGTTAAGAAATCGATAGTTTTTTATTCTAGGCTATTAGTTGTAGTACTGATCATAATTTATGATAATATTATGTGCGATTAATTCATATAATCATTATATAATACTACAGCTGCATCATATTAACTTTACATACAGTTAATAATATACGTAATTTGATTTATACATAGTGTAATCATGTTACATGAATTAATAATATCGTTATAAGTTTGTTAGATGATCACAATTATTTTTAAGAAATTTCATTTTGAAATGTTTATACAATTTGTGAAGAAAGATAGTTAATGATTTTACCACAGAAGAAACCATTAATCCTAGACATTAATCAGTCAATTCTAAACAGAGTCGTAAGACTCCTAACATGTTCTCGTAAAACTTGTAAGAACTTATGACTATTATTTTTAATTTTATGCGTACGACGTACCATTATTCGTAAATATATATATGATTTCTTATAAATTTTATGGCTAGTAAGAAGCTGTCTGTAAAAATAAAGGTATAAGCACTTAAAAAATTCTTACAAGCTTACAGAAATATGTTATGAGCATTACGATTTTGCTTAGAATTTAGCCATTAGATTTTCTATTTACAGATATATGTCGTTAGATATTTACCATTAATATGAAATGATTTGTCAAAAATATTCGATATACATACAATGTTCTCTTCCATTCGGCACACTGAGATGAAGTTTCTTGGAAATATCTTTTATATATGTATTGCAAGACATTTCCATAACGGCGTTTACGATTTCTGAGGCTTTGACAGGGGTGCTTTGCACCTCTAACACGCCAAGGGGTTTACTACGAGGTCTTATATCAAATATAGGTTACTTCGATCGTCAGTAAGCCGCTTAATTTATGACAGCGGCTTTAGTAAATAAGATACTTTACTAAAGCTGCACGTTTATCATACTCCTTATCCGACAATATAATTCTGATTTGATCTCATCGTGAGAAAATACCACCATAAAGAAAAAACTATAAACTTGAAAGACTTAATCAATATAAACAAAATTAAGAAAAGTATATAAATTTATGAATGCTAATAAACAGCATGTAAAATCAATATAGAAGTTCAAACTAATTATCTAATCTCTAATTCACTTAATTTTATTGAATTAAATTAAATTAAACTGAACTATTTAATTTAATTACATTAAATTGTAAATTATTTATTAGATTAAACTGTATATTGTTTAAACAATAAGAATCTTATTATACCGTACATGTGAGAACACAACTAATAAGAAATAGGAACGGCCATTATATATATATATATTAGATGGTAAACTTAATTCTTGCCGTTCCCTGGAGGGTATCGGCTCCAACGCCGACGAGTTTCTACGGTAAACTGTGACATCGCATGTCTTATGTAGTTTGGACATTACTGAAAGTGATTCAGTCTTCACAAGTTAGATTTCTCGACACCAAAAAGATTTTGTAATCGATTGAAAATGAATTGCGATAAGATGTTTTTCCGACGTGTGCTTCTTCACTATTTCGACTTCAAGAAAACCGCAGCTAAAACGCATCGTTTGTTATTCGAAGTGTTTGGTGATGAAACTCCATCGGAAAGAACATGTACAGTTTGGTTTGAACACTTTTGAAACGGTGATTTTGATCTGAGAGATAAAGAACATCGCGGACAGCCGAAAAAATTTGAAAATGTCGAGCTGCAAGAATTGCTTGATGAGGATCAGCTCAAACGCTTTTAGAGTTGTCGAAAGTATTAAATGTTACTCCAATGGTCATCTCAAAACGCTTGCATGTTATGGGAAAAAATTTGGAGACGAAAAACGGCAGAAATTAAGTTTATCGCCTAATTCCATATTTGTAGTCATTTTGAATTGCGCGCCGATATTTTATATCGGACTTAAAAACGTAGTTAAACTACTGATGAAATAATATTACAATTAAATTTTGATGCTTAAGAAGCATCTACTAAAGAACTCTTAATATGTTGGAAATCTGTAAATAAATTTATTTGTTTTTAAATTTTTTTAAATGTATATTGTTTATTTTATTAAAGCTTTATTTCTCTCTAATCAAATGTTTTTTGCATTTCAGATCGAAGATGCTATGCTGATGTTCGACAAGCAAACTAACAGGCATAGAGGTAAGTACACTTTTCCTTTCGTTTCTTTCTTTAATATGCCACATTATTACGAAAAAACCATTGCAATTTCATTGCGTGCAAATGTGTCAGAAATACGTCTGAAATCTATCCTATTTAACGAGTCAATAATGTCGCCATTCCGCCGGCGCGGAGGTAATTAACGAGCCCGAGTTGAAGCTATAATTAGTAATCACGGTAAATCGCAAGCCGCGGTAAATACGGGGGAAGATAAATAACATAAATTTCCGGATATGTGCTGCCTACACAAATCGTGACGGCATTTTGCGAATTCATGGCATGCGGATCGATAGTCGCATAGAAGAACTTATTGCGAAGCATGAAGGAACGCGTGATTAGGAACAAAATAAAAAAGAGCATGTTAAAAAAGTAATCCTTTTGCGTTTGAAACCTCAAGAGATTAAACGTTGAGCTAAAAATTTCTTACATTTATGAAATGATTAATGGTCGTAAATTTTGTTTTCCATTGCGATCTTGCAATTAATTTTTAAAACTATATATCTATTAACTCCATATTTTTATATAAAAAACAAAAGATCTGTTTAAAATTTGATGTAAGAAATTTGACACACAATGCTAATGAAATGCTTATGTATAAGTTATTACATATATACTCGTATGTGCCAATAATAAATGGAAAACAAAAATCACTCTCAGAAAAATTAATTTTTAATCAATCGTCAGATAAGTTTAATAATGTATTAATCGGCTAATGCCGATTTAATTAACTAAAACCATCTTTGTGATAATGAATATCATAGAGTTATAATTGCAATAACAATTCATTTTATCAGTCAATTTATTCTTTAATCTTCGATCTTTAAATTTTTTATTTTTTTCCATCTCTTTATTTACGCTCTTTTTTTGCATGAGAGAGTGATAAGGAGCCAACTTATGGAACAACGAAGGTCCCATAAATCCAACTATAGCGCACTCCTCACATTCTTACCAAAACTTAATGTAGAAGTGGAAGGTCATCAAGATTAAAAGCCTTCGATTTCAAATAAAATAGACGCGTCTAAGAAATTTTTACGCGGCACTTTGCTAACGCGGTAGGGGTGAGGAGATGGAAATGTTATTGAGTTCGCGCGAGGAGCGCATGCCCGCAATTGAAAATCGACTGAGCAGGGAAGAAGGGTGGAGATCGAGAGGTCGCGATGAATGAAATATCGTGGCAACTGCGATAATATATAGGGCAGCTCGACTCTCAGCCGTTCTCCGCTGTCGAGAGCATAGCGGTCTTTGCGATCGGCACAAGTCTGGATCCATTCACGTCGTCGCTCCAATGGGATCGATAATCGTCAGCGACCGTGGCATCCCACCTTGCAGATAATCGGGATGAAGGGGGGGGGGGGAGTCTTTCTCTCTCTATCTTTTTTTATCGATACCTACCACCTTCATAGCTGTCGTTTCTAGAGCGGAGGCGAGCGTCTGGTCGGGCTCCGATGATAGATTCTAATATCGCTTATGAAAAATAGGGGCAAATGGGATATGAGAGCTGGCGCCCTTTAGTACGGAGGTTCTTCCCGACCGAGTTGCTGAAGAGAACCGAAGGGTGGGGAGAGGGGGGGGGGGACACTGAAAGTGCGTCGCGCATCGCGCGAACGGCGAGAAAGTAGGGTAGCTGAAATAGCGACGCGCGAATCGACGCTGGTGGATGAAGAGCGAAGGAAGAAGGGTGAATGGAAGTGGAAGTGAGATAGGGGGGCTCTTTCAAAGCTGCACGTAATCTCTCTCGTGATGACATCCAATACCGTCCCCGTACGACGAGAGTCTGCGAACCTCAAACCTCGAACTGCTGCTGCTGCTGCTGCTACTGCTGCTCGTCGGTAGATTTCGCGATATGGTACTTCCCGCACTCGGTCCCTGACCTCTAAGGGGATCATTCTCAGATTCTTCGGTAGACATACCGTGAAAAATTTCAAACGAAATACGCGCGACGAGGATATTTATCCTCGCACTTGATATTTTCGATCGGCCAGTCTCGCATTCGTGAGTGAGAACTATATATACATATATCTTCATGGTTAATAAAACATGTTCTAAAGATGCTTTACTTAATACTTTGACAAGGTCTCCTTTCAAATCGCAATTTATCAACAACGTACTTATGTAACCTAACAATTTGAATGATTATACAAAACTACAATTGTGCACTGTATTTTATAACGAATAAGTTCTTAAACTAAAGATTAATAAATGTTAACGTATGTAAATTCGTCAACGTTCAGTATTGATCATAGACTAGCTCTTTAAGGATATATCACGCATATTTTTTAATCAAATGAAAAATTATGAAAAAAATAGATTTTTCTACATTGCATTCATGGGTAAAAGGTAGGGGAGACCAATTGTTATACGGGGATTGATTGTCAAAAAGCTAATAACTCAATTAGTATACATAGTAGAGCATTCGTCTTCTTTTTGCTGCAGATTACTGGTATGGTATTAAATTGTTGTGTAAAATAGTTTGCGCCAAAAACGTCATGCATATTACGTACAACTTTTAAGAAAATGAAGCTGTTAAGTAAATTTTTCTCATCTCTTTTTTTGTTATTAATTAGTTTTTAGCATTATCATTGTAATAAATTTTGTGAATAGAATTTCTTACTAAAAACAACTATAAATGAGATAAATTGACCAAAATATGCGGCTATTAAGTGACAGTCAATTTGAATCTCTTTAGATCGACATGTTTTAAAGAATATATATTTACGAATATAATATTTTATTTAGATATATGTATTTTTTTCATTTTTTGTATATATAAGCTATATAATACAAAATAAGTTACATGTTTTATGATTAAAATATTATTTTACTTGTATCAATATTATAATTACTATTATTTAGAAATGACACCAAAATAAAAACTGCATTTTCTATATATTTTATTCAAATAAAAAATATGTTGTTAACTTTGAAACTCCGAGCATAAGGAGCTAATTGTCACATTTTCGCAGCTTTATTTAAATCTAAATAACTTATTTGTACAAAGATGTATCAAATTCAAGAGTGATATTTTTTTTTATACTTAGGAGGATGTAGATATATTATAACGTATAAAATGTTTCAAAATCTTACATTTACATCTTTCTAAAAGTCATTATTCAAAAACTGTGATAACGGATCTCCGGCTCTCCTAATAAATACAAATAGTTTAGCGGCAATTTAGAACCTGAATAAAAAATTATTTCAATATAAAAACATTACATTTAATAAGACATGTTTTGAAAAAATTGCAAAGATAAAATGAGAAAGTTTTCATTTAAACTATAAAATTATATTGATAAATATATAAATACTGTTCTTAAACTGTTTCATATCTATATATAGGGTGATGATGCATCGGAAACGAAACAGACTGAATAACTCCTACAAAAATGGTTTCTTGAAGAAACCAAAACCAGGTCAACTTGTTGGAAGAAGCACATCTTTTGACACATAATTCTTATTTTCGACTTTGACTCCCTAAGTGGGGACGCTAATCCCTAAAAAATTTCAAATCGGAAGAGGGGTTAAATGATACATCATTAGAAAGATCTTTTAATTCCCTATATTCCTATGTTTGATTTTTTAAACTCAATCAATTCATTTAAAAGATACAGAATATTAAATCTAAAACAAACAAATCTTCGTAGCTTCCAACTTTTTTCTTTATTGTCTATCGAGTCAGTCCATTAATAAGTTGCAAGGGATGTCTAAATACGTACCATCATATAATTTAACGTAATAATTGTTCAAAATGTTGACTCTCAATTTCTATACAATAATAGAGATTCTGACTTTTAGTAGCAAGGTATGTTTAAAAACATCCAAAGTGTTGTGAATTCCAATCGTTATTTCTACTGTGCACTAATGTTTTGATTTTATTCTTAATATTATGAATCTACGAGGCTTTCTTCAATGTAATCTTCAAGTAAGACCATACAGTATCTACCTAGTGTGTATGACAAATGAATTTCGGTATGGTTTACTCGATTGCAGAAAGGGTTGAAATGATTGTACTTTTTTTGGAAATAATGGATGTGCTAACAAAACAGCTGAACTATTCAATCAAAAACATGCAAATAGGCATATCGACCGCAAGTATGTTTTGGAGTTAGTGGCAAAATTTAAAAAGACTAGATTTAAATCAACCGAAAGTGGCAGTTCTGGGCTATGTTGCTGTCGATCTTATATTGAGTACGAGGCAATTGGCTGCTGTATCTGGTGTTAATCAAACTAGTATTCAACGAATTTTGAAACACCACAAGTTCCATCCATATAAAATTAAGTTGCTACAGAAACCTAATGAGGACAATTTTGACCATCGTTTGCAATTTTGTGAAGTCATAAGTGAACGGGTGACGAATAATCCAAATTTCCTTTTTAATATCTGTTTTTCTCACGAATGTTCTTTTTTCTTAAATAGTACAATGAATCGCCATAATTGTCGTTATTGCGTAGATTCTAATCTGAAGATATTTCATGTAATTCATACAAGTCCAATATTCACAAAAATTAAATGTTTGGGCTGGCATTTTTGGCAATCGTCTCATTGGACCCTTTTTTCTATCTCATAATTTGAATGGGAATATGTATTTGGAATTGCTAGAAGACATCATTGATCGAATGATAACTGATATTATCGAGAATGATGAACATTATGTCGAAGATCAATTGATATTCTAACAGGACAGAGCTCCTTTACACTATGCACGGTTTGTTCGTGAATATTTGGATAAAACTTTTCGGGGTTGTTGGATTAGAAGGAGAGGCACTATTGAATGGCTTTCTCGGATTTGTCGCTATTGGATTCTTTTTGTGGGGTCACTTAAAAAGTCAAATTTATGCAATACAACCAATTTCTTTAGGAGATCAACGTATTGTAGACGAATGCCGTCAAATCAATCAGCCCACAAATGCTCCAGAATATACGACAACATTTCGAGCAGAATCTTTTAATTATCGTATGGAAATCGGTGATCAACATTTCGAAC